TTTTTTTTTTTTTGCAAAGTTCTGGCAACTCTTTATGGACTTTTTGCTGACACCAGGATTGCAAAGTTGATGTTTTATGGATTTGTTTATAGTTAAGGGATGAGATATGGGATGAAGAGATATCTCTTTGTAACCTTATAGGGGGTGAAGAGTTACTAAATTTGTTTATACTTGTGATGATGGTTGGAAGTCACTTCATATATTTCTTTTCTTTTTCTTTATTCTTTTCTTTTCTTTTGTTCTTTTTCTTTTCTTTTTTCTTTCTTTTCTTTTTTCTTTCTTTTCGTTTTTCGTTTTTCTTTTCTTTTTATTCTTTTCTCTTTCTCTAAATTTAGTTTGTATTAGTTTTTACTATTGTAATCAAAATTCTTAATAAAAATATATTTAAAAAAAAGAGATTGGGAGCTTCTTTCACTCTGGTGCACAATCCTTGTGTGAAAATTCTTTAGATCTCCCTCCAATATATACATAACAGATATTTACAATACATTGGCAGCAGGAAGAATCACCCTACCTTGCCTTTTAATGTTGCAAATGTTTCCCAGAAGAAAACAATATTACAAATCCATTTTTTTCCAGTTCGTTTTCTTCTTGTTGCTAGGATTTGCAATCATTTCCCATTGTGGACAAAATCCTTTTACCGTACCACACTCTGTTCACAGCATCTCTTTGTGTATGTGTTGGCTTAGCTTGTCCCTTATTGAGGTTGTACTGTATGTTTTTCTTTTTAAGGTGGATAAAATCAGTGAATGTGCTCAGACTGAAGTCTCTTTCCCAGAGTGATGGAAGACTTTTATCAGTCTTTCATCACTGTATTTTCTAGAGATCTATCAATAGCAACAAGCTTGAGTGCTTTTGCTATAACTGGAAGTTGCTTACCTTCTCCAGAAGGTAACTTGCCAGGGTAAGGTAATTCACATGACTTTTGCTCACCGCCATGTCTATTTTTTTTAAAAATTAAAAATGGAACGTAAATGTAGATTACTGCATTTGAAAGGGGTTTATAGTTACATGATAGTTCTTCAAGTATATATTTTATAATGAGAATTATGCTAATTTAACTCTGAGATTTTGTAGAAAGATTCATGTAAGGGTTGGGAAAAGTTGAGCAGTCTCTTGTTATAGATCTTATGGGTGTTAAGGCAGCTGTAGAACCTATAATGGAAGAAAACTTGTTAAGACAGTGGATCTAGGGTAACCTTCCTCAATCTGAGTATCCTGAAAACCAGCACAACCCTTAGTGGTTCTGGCTAAAAATATACTGGTATTTGTAATCCTAATGCATTTGAAGGGTGCCAGGCTGGGGAAAGCAGACATACACCAAATTATATGATGCTTCTAATATGGGTGAGAAACTGGGTCAGGAAATGTCTGAACCATGGCTTAACCATGAATTATTTAGGACAGCCAGTAAAATATGGTTACAAGGTTCCATGATTAAAGTATAAGAATACTTTTGAGAACTCTCAGTATAGAAGGGTTATATATTTTTTCTTTTTCTTTTGGCAGATTCCTCAAGTATCTATGCAGAATTTGCTGTCATCCTCATAAATGTGGTGGATCACAGGCTGGCTTCCCTAAGGCATGGGAAAATGTGTGGGAAAATGTTGTGGAATTCTCTCAACAAAGAGGCTTGACACTTTTTTTGTGATGGTGAGTTTTTGGTTTGAAGACTGTTTTTTTTTTTTAAACAGCCTACTAAATTCAAAATCTATTTAACTGTAAACACCACCCTCTCCAATAATGAATGAATATATGCTTGCATAAACACACTATTATTTCTGTTGCCATTGTAAGTGTCCAAAATACATTGATTATTGGGTGGCATTTAAATGGTGTTAATAATTAATAAACTAGTAATCAATCAAGCAGAATTATTTTTAAACAGGTAGCTTAAAAGAAGATAACATATATTTGTCTTACAGCAGCTGAATGAAATAATATGTTAGGAATTGTTATTGATGTTAATGAACGGGCTCCAAGCAAAGTAAAGGTTATAAAGCTAAGGTGCTTTTCTCAGCAAAACTTTGCCTTCCAGTACAGTTCAAAGGTTTCAGATAAGCATTGAATTAAATCTTTAAACACCTTGGAACAAGGTGTGGTTTTCTGTTCACCTTATCTTTTCTTAGCTTTCTCTGTTAGATTTTTTTATACTTTTATTTTCACCTTCTATGCCCTTATTCTACATTTGTTCTCTACCTGACTGTAAAATGCAGCCATATACATATATTTTTGGAATATATTTGTAGCTGGAATATATTGCAATTTGGCCTGTTAAGAAACTCTTATGATTTATTTGTTAACAGTTTTGTCAAAAAACCCACATTTTTTCCTCCTCCAAAAGGTATCTGAGAGCTCTTGAATTATAAGTTATCTTTCCATTATTTACTTCAGCTATAGTGTTTGTGTTACGTGTTATTAGTGAATCTAATTGATTTAGATTCTTTCCAGTTCCAAAAATCATGTTTTTCCAAGAAATAGGCAGGGAGGGCACCTTCCAATGCACACCCATAATAAATCGTGTATATGATCTACATGGATCTTCAGACTGAATCATTTGACTCATTCATTGTTTCTAAGGAACAAACGACAGAAGCAGAAGATCTGAAGCTCAAATAGAGCTAAAAAAGATCGTGGTTTGAAAATCTGGTGAGCCAGTGCCAGTTAGGAATGGGTAAAGCTGCCAAAAGAGTTTTGTTGTTGATAAAGTGTGTATTAAAATTAGTATTTTGGTACCATTTCTCCAAGCAGATACACATTTGAATTTTCACTCAATGTACATAATTTTACAAGGTATTATATTATAAAAAAGTCCCTTGAACATAATTGTGAATAATAACTAAATTTCAGTTCAAACATTGATACAAAAATGTGAATGTGGGGAAATTCATACTCAGATATGAATTTCTCCTCATCCTTATTGCCAAGGGTTGGGCAGTCTGTGATACATATCCATGTTCCCCTCCCAAACTGCTTTTTGGTTTTGTGGCCTTAGCAAATTCCTTTGACCATTATTGCAAATGTTTGGCAGGGCAGTCTCCCCACAGAGCTGTTAAAGGAACTTGGTATGGTTAGCTTAAAGAAGAGAAGGCTAATAGCCTTCCAATATATGAAGGCAGAGGTTGTAGATTTATTGTCCAGAATACCTGCAGGTAAGACAAGAATCATTGGGAAGAAGCTTTACAAAAAAAGATCCAAATTTAAAATTAGGAGGAATATCCTGACTATGAGAACTATTAAGCAATAGAGCAGCCTATCTCCTGAAGCTGTGGGTGCTCTATCACTGGAACTTTTCGAGAAAAGATTGGACAGCCTGGGATTTGCCTAGGATGCTGTAAAGATTCCTTTGCTGGGAAGAGGGTTGAACTAAAGACTTCCAAGGTTCTTTCCAATCCTATGATTGTGGAGTCCTTTGGGTTCTCTGAACTAGGTTGTTTTCTTGCAAACGTTTTGTTACCCGGCTAGGTAATATCTTCAGTGCTAGAAGGGAGTGGGGTTTGCTCTCTGTTTCTATACAGTGGCTTGCCCTGTCAGTGTTGGTGGGGGTGTGGTTTTCTCCTTGGTAGTTCCTTGATTAGGCTGTTCTTTACTGCTTAACTGTCTGTCGGAGTTGGTAGTTCCTTGATTAGGATATTGTTTACTACTTGATTGTTTGTCTGGTGTTAACCTTGGTGTTAATCTCTGCTTATCTGGGTGTTGACTGCTGGCGAGGAGGTGTTCTGGCTTAGAATCCTATGAATCTGTGACTATTCTCAGGCAGGAACTGCATGAAAAGGGTAAATCAAACTCTCAAATAGGCTTATCATAGGGTGCTTTTGTTT